ATGAGTTTAATGAAATCCTCTCTGACTCTCACCCTGGTGGTACTGAGGGAGGTCAGAAGTACTGCCCTCAAGGGGACCAGCAGGTGGCATGGTGGTTGAGGCTCTGGACACTCCCATGTGGCCAACCACGGTTCAAGTCCTGGACCTTGTGGCTTGCTTTCTCACTTTCCCACTCTCTCTCTGTCTCTGTCTCTGTTTCTGTTTCTCTCTCTGGTCAACTTAAACTAAAGAAATGAATAAATAAATTAAAAAAAAAAAGTAATGCCCTTGGTGCCTCTGCCAAATATGTGACCCTATGTGTACCACCCTACTCTCTTTAAACTTGACCTTTGGGTTTTTGTTTCTTACAAAAGAGCAATGACTCCCAGGTGGCTTGATATCTGAGTAATCACCCCACCTTGCTGCCTAGGATTATGGTGACCCAGCCCCAACAGTCAGGAAATTTATGCTTATCTTTAACTGAAAGAGAAGGCTTCCTGGTTGGCCTCACTCAATAGTGCCAATCACAAAGCCAGCCACTGGACACAACCCTAAAGTGGGGAAGAGCTAGGCTTCCCCTAGTTCCCACCAATATGCTCCCACCTGCCAAGGTAGGAAGTGTCGCCTCTTCACAGTAAGGTGTTAGCCATACTTCTTCCCTTCCCAAAGCAGACATCCTAGATAGGGTTCCTTGGAGACAGCAATGTCTTACCCCCAAAGGCTTCTCTGCTGATAACTCAGTGAAGCTTTTTTCTTTTTTTTCTTCTAAAAAAATAAGAAAAAAGAAGCAATTTTTTTTTCTGTTTCTCTTCACTGGCCTTCTAGCCTTCCAGTCAGTTTAAGGCTTTGTGTTCAGTGGTCTAAGTTCCTCATTTTGTCTTAGTGGGATCGGAGTTGAGGTAGCACTTAGTTAATGTCTTTTCTATGATTCATGGATGAAGTCCAAGAGGTAATTAAACTAGAGGTGCTTCAGAGGATGGGGTAGAGATAGGTGGAGAGAGGTTGGGGCTCCCTTGGTGAGTGAGAAAAAATTGAATTCTACAAGTCTGGTGGGACACCACAGAGGAAGCAGCCTCAAACAGTGGAGATTTGTGCCTTTTCAGCATAGGGCTCTGTAGCTACAGTGTCTGGGGTAGGTGTGGGGCCTCTAAAATGTCTCTGTGGGAGGTTTGTAGACAGCAAACTGATTGAAAGGCCTGGAGGGAAGAGAAATGCCCTTAGCTGGTATCTTGGCTCTATGCACATGAACCACAGATATTAATTATCTGTGACAAAGGATGGGGAATGCTGGCCCAAACTATGGACAGAACATCATCACACAAACTTGGCACATGACTAAATGCCTCAGAGACAGCCTCTGACTGTATGACCTTGAAAACATGGACAATAGTCCCTGAGGCAGTCTGCAGGCCAAGTATGTAGGTATTCTGAGGAAAAGCTTTCAGTCTCATAGCTGTAGCATGTAACAAAAGAAGCAACATTGATAATGGTGGCTGTATTATTGGCTAGCTCAGGCCCTCACCCCATTTTTCTGTTAGCAAGTAGGCTCCCAGATTCTATAAGGTTGTCAGAAAAGCCATGTCATATTTTTCTATGCAAAGATGTGTCATGTCTTTTCCGATGACCCAATAGTACAGCCCAATGGAGGGTAAGAGCAAATTTCAATAATAATTAATATCGGGATCCCACCAGCCTGGCCAAGGTAGGACTCAGAGCATGATTTCAGTTGGCTTGAAAAAATAGAGATGCATATTTTCTTGCTCCTTCGCGAAGTGGAGAAAACTCACATCTGTTATTTAGGCATCAGTGGGAGGGTGGTGGGGGGCAGGGAGTGGTGAGGAGTGATCCTCAAATCACCAGGCAGCTGGAGAGGCTGCCACACACTGCCCTCCTCCATTTGCCTGTAGTCGGCAAAAGACAAATTAGCCCAGTGCCTCCTGAGCTAGAGTTTGCAATGCAGAGTCTGCAAGAATGTTTGCTAGGAAGCCACACTGTTCTTTATCTCAGCAGGTGTAATTCCATCACATGATTGTCTTGGATCTGCTTCTCCCCCTCCTCACCCCCCACTCTAGCCCAAGCTTGCCAATTCAGAAACCATTGCTGAGAAATAATTAGTCTTTCTCTCTGTCAGACCAGAAAACACAGGGGGTCCTGTTACATAGACTATAATGAGCATTTCCTGACTCTGAGGGTTATAGAAACCCTTTCTGCCTGCTCCCAAGGCCAACAAACCAGAACTTTCTCAGCAGGCAATGCACTGACCTCCATCAGGAAACCAGGTTGGGCCCTGCAACCTGCCCTGACTTATACAAGATTTGCAGGTCACCAGCAGACCAGTCAAAGAAAGAAGACTGGGTCCAGCGTGGTAGTTCAGGCAGCTGGATCCCACAGGGCTGACCGTGTGGTTCAAGTTCAAGATCTGGCTTGAGGGGCATGCTGGGTGTGTGTGTGTGTGTGTGTGTGTGTGCATGCCCAAAAATCTTGGGAGGACAATGAGGAGAGGGGATTGTGGCATGGCCATCCTTGGGGAGGAGGTGTTTTCTTGAGCTCTCTCTTCCTCTTTCCAGGTTGAGCACACATACCCTATAGCAAAATAATAAAAGGAAGAGAGAAAGAAAAACACAAGAGAGAGAAAGAAAGAACCCAAGGCCTCTGTGAAGACATAGCCATAAAGCTAAGTTCTATACTGCCTTGGAAACTTTCAGTACAACCCGACATCTCTAGTTCAGACAGTTATTTCTATTGCAGTTTAAGGTTACCTTGGATAGCTAGCTTTCACTTTCTGAGAACTGGTGAACAGAAAACAAAGAGGGGCGGACCTTGGCAATCCAAGCCTGGAAGGTTTAACCATTCATCCCAGAAGCACAGGCAAGAGGAACTTTATTAATGTCACTGCCCTGTGCCCTCTAGTACCTAAAAGACTTGTGGGGCTTGTGAAGCCACACCAGGGTCTGATGTTCCTCTTCAAACTTCAGACGTTCCTTCCGGATATTTGTTTCAGTTCTAAGATGGCTTGGGAGATGGGATTCTGAGCAACTTAAAGAGGGACTGAGAGGACAGATGGTGTGATTGAGTTCTAAGGAATCCTCCAGAGTAGAGCCAGACCCTTGGGATGACCTTAATGTTTCACCTGCTCCAAGTTGTCTTAACAGGATTTTCTAGTCAGTAAGCTCTTATATAAATATTATCATAGCAAAAGAAAAATAAAGGTTTTAAAACTCCGAACACCCTTACTAATCAATTGTTTCCATTTACCTGTTCTCTCTCCCTCTCTTTGTCTACTTGCACATATACATCATGTGGGTGGTGTTTACAACCTAGATAACTTTACCATTTTCATAACAAGATCGCTGCTACTGCTCACCTTTCATTGTGTAGCTCAGTGGTTCTGAAAGATGAATGTGCATCCTTTGGAGAGCTTATTTAAAGTTCAAACTTCTGGGGTTGTTATACCATGGAGGATACCCAAAGTAGTTTTAAAAATTTAAAACATATTGGGGGGCGGGGGGACAGTAGGTGGTGTGGAAGTTCAGGCACTGGGTTTCCATATAGTCAACCACAGTCCAAGTCCTGGACCTGGTGCCTTGAAAATCATGCTGGGATAGGGACCAGCAGATGATGTAATGGTTACATTGCTGGACTCCCACACAGTCAACCATGGATTGAGTCTTGGACTCAGCAGTTTAAATTCAGGCCAGACACGTATGCATACATGCCCAAAATCTCGAGAGGAGAATGGAGGAGAAGGGGTCGCAGTGTGGCCATCACCCTTGGGAGTAATTTCTCACTTTCTGTCTCTCTATATCTCTGGCTAGTGCACACACACTATAGCAAATATCTCTATTTTAAAAAAGAAGAAGAAGAAGAAAAAGAAAAAGAAAAAGAAAAAGAAAAAAGAAAAAGAAAAAGAAAAAGAAAATCATGCTGGGGATGTGTGCATGAATGCCCAAAATTCCAAGAGGAGAATGGAATAGAAAGGACTACAGCATGGCCAAGCCTTCTCAGAGTGATTCGCACTTTTCATGAGTGCATGTGCCCCTATGACAAAAACAAAAACAAAAACAAAGTAAAATATACAAAAAATGTTTGTTAAAAGCAAGATCTATACTATAATTGCTTTTGATTAATAATTTTGGACATAAAGAAAAACAGTTTTGTAAAGTCTGCATTTTGAGCATACTGCTAGGTGGTTCTGATGTAGGCTATGGTTCAAGAAGCACTACAGGGGCCAGCAGGTGGTATAGTGGTTAAGTTGCTGGACTCCTCATGTAATCGACCATGGCTTGAGTCCCAGATTCGGCAACTTGAAACATGCTGGGAGCATGTGCGCCCAAAATCCTGAGAGGAGAATGGAGGAGAAGGGATTGCAGTGCGGTCATCCCCCCCAGGGTGTGATTTCTTGCTTCCTGTCTCTCTGTGAGTGTATGCACCCTATAGCAAAAATCTCTCTAAAAAATAATAAAAATAAAACAGAAGCAGTCAAAGGTGGTTTTTTGTTTGTTTGTTTGTTTTGTTTTTTTAGATGTTTTTGCTATAAGGCACATGTGCTCGCCAGAAGGACAGAGAGAGACAGAGAGACAGAAAGCAAGAAATCACCCCCCAGGGGGGATGGCCATGCCCCAATCCCTTCTCCTCCATACTCCTCTAGGGATCTTGGGCACGCACACACATGTGCCCAGCATGAGTTTAAGCCACAAGGTCCTGGACTCGAATCGCGGTCAACTACATGGGAGTCCAATGACAAAGCCATTACGCCATCTGTTGGCCTCAAAAGTGAATTCTTGAAGCTTCTCCCAAAGGCAGTCATTCAGAGACATCAGGATACCCTTCCCTCCACTAGAGTCCACGTCCATAGTTTGGGATAAATCAATTTTATGAGAAAGAACAGCCTGATGTCTAGATTCTCTCCTTGAACCTGGTTGTGGAGTCTAGGAAAGCAGTGCAAGTGAGTTTTTAGTTTTTATCAAGGTTTTTCCCAGAATATGTATTCCCCCATAGTCTCTATTTTTAAAATTACCTACTTGTCTCTGAAGCTCGACAACAGCTCCTCTGTAAAGCTCTTGATCCTTCCACATCTGGAATGAAAATATCACAAGTCATCTCTCTTGGCAGTTGGAGCTATGTAGAACAGAAGTCTATCCTGGATTCAGTCCTGCATCTCTTTCCCCAGCATGAGCACCTGACTCAGCTTGGAAGTGTAGAGAAGGTTACGGAACTTTATCTTGCATTAGTCCATTCCTCCTCCCTACTTCCAGCCCTACCCACCTATCCTTTCTTCTGCTCTAAGGGATGCCTCTGTAAATGTTATGCCTCTAAAGATATTCAGTGGGAGATAGGTGATACACACTGGATGCAATAATAATTTGTCCTGAGTTGCTCCTTAGAAGTGTTGCTAAGTCAGGTGACCATGGTTCACTCTCACCTCCTAGAAGGACCTTACATGGATTAGGCTGCGAGCCTTAACAGTTCCCATAGCACTATAGCATGGGGGGGAGGGGCTGGGAGTGGCCACAGGAACCAAATCTCCTTTACCTTGGTGTGTGCCCTGCTCCCCTAGATAAGTTGAGACTGGCCATTTGGTCTTGGTCTTGGTCTTACCTTTCCTGCCTTTGTCTGTATGAACTTGCACCGTGTCTGAATGCTGGAGGCTCCCATTGCTGGTGCTCTGACTGCCCTAGCTCTGTCCTCTAAGCTTCCCCAGTGAGTTCTGAGCAGCCAGTTGCTCCCTTGCCAGGTCTAGCCTGGCCTGACCTTTTTTCTGACAAAAGTTAGCTCTCATTTGACTATAAGTTTCCCTTGGGGTGATGAACACCCAGAGCCACTTTCCAGGAAGCAGCAGTAGCAGTAGCAGTCACCAGTAAGCAATATTAGTTGCCTCCCAGTAAGCACAGTTGCCATCATCAAGAGTTTTGAGGCAGTTGATGACAGAAGTAAAGCTATGTTTAGTTATTATTTTTTTAATCTGGCCATACTGAAATACAGGCTTACCTTTAAAATGTATGGGGCCCAGGGCATGAATATAAATGGACATATGCATACCATATATCTGAAAGTCGTAAATTAAACTAACAAATTGTTAAGTAAAATATTTCCATCACTAGGCCAGCTGGCAGTGTAGAGGATAAGACAGATGGATCCTACATGGTCGATTGCATGGTTGGAGTCCTAGACCCAGCAGTTTGAAAACCACTCTGGGTGCATGTCGTGTGTGTGTGTGTGTGTGTGTGTGTGTGTGTGTACAAGAGGAGAATGAAAGAGAAAGGATTACAACATGGCCATTCCTCCTGGGGAGTGAATTCTTATTTTTCCTCTCTCTCTTTCTCTCCCTCTCTCTCTGTCTCTCTTCGGTGAACGCACATACCTTATAGCGTGTGTGCGCGCATACACACACACACACACACACACACACACACACATATATATATTTCCATCTCTTGTATTGACAAATATACCTTCATAACAACTTAGAAGGCCAGTTCCCAAATGCAGAATTCTAGAATCTCTCTCAAAGTTCCATGCTAGAACATGGTAGAATGAAGAGAAATGATACCTGGCCCCGGCCCATCCTCATTTCTTTCCTCAGCATGGACCCTGTCCCACATGACAGGCCATTGAGTACATTTACTTGGATGTCCTGAATGAGAACACCCATTCCCATCTCATCATACTCGTCTCCAGCAAACAACTACCCCTTAGTGTCTTGGCCACCTTTCAGGTATGAGCAAATACAATAATGGTCTGGTCTTTTCTCAGGTCAACCTATTTAAAGAAGAAGCTGCCCAGGCCCAGGAAGTATGCTACAGAAGGGGAACATGAGCTCTGGGTGGAATATCCCATTGGCCTTGTGGATCCTTATACCATGAGAGGTATAACTAAGGTGGGCTAGCTGGGGTTCTCTAAAGCAGAGAAGGACCCAAGACAGAGATCATGACTGGTGAAGTAGATAGCTCAGATGGGGGTCAGATGGTAGCATAGCACATAGATAAGCTGAGACTGGCCATTTGGTCTTGGTCTTACCTTTGAGTTTCCTGACTTTGACTGTATGAACTTGCACCATGTCTGAATGCTGGAGGCTCCCATTGCTGGTGCTCTGACTGCCCTGGCTCTGTCCTCTAAGCTTCCCCAGTAAGTTCTGAGCAGAGAAATGCATTGCTCTTTAAGGCTGATCCACACAGGATTCAGGTTTGCATCTGGAGATCTCCCTGGGTATGCCAGACACAGGTATGCTCATAGTCCAAGGCCGCTGAAACTGGGGATGGATCACAGCATCAGGACCCTGTTTGGAATGTTCTCTCTCTCTTACTTGCTCACAGAAGAAATAGACATATTAAAAAAAAAAAAAAAAGAGCTTGGATAAAAGGTACAACCAACAATAGTGAAATCATAAAGGAGGTCTTGAAGACCTCCCAATAGGAGGGGAAGGAGAAAGCCAGAAAGCAGAACATGAACAGACATGTTAAAAACAGAGACCAGTGCCTCAGCAAACTCTGCCTGGATACCTGGGAGCCTCTAGGGTCCCGGGTTGAGCCCCTGCCCAGGCCACACACTCTTGTCCAAAGAGCTCTATGGACACCTTAAAATATAAGTTAGTTGGAGTAGGCTATTATTATCTGGGGCGGGGTGGGGGGGGAGTCTTGACTAAGATATTACTTAGTGGCAAAGGGAATCAAAGTTTCCCCAGAGAAAAAGAGAGTAATGAAATAGAAGGGCTACAGAGGCTTGTGGAAGGTGTAAATTTAGGATGTGGAAAAAAGAAAAACAGAGAAAGTGTTGTCGAAGAAGCAAGGAGAGAACTATCTCAATAGGGTGAGCATTTCAGAAAGAGGGGCTGGGCAAATGGAAGATGAAACCTGAGGAAAGGTGACCTTCAAGAAAGCACAATGAGGGACAAATGTTGGCAGAGGGACACCCCTGGCCGTGTTGGGGAGATTGACTGAACTGCAGCTGTTCACACATGGCTGAGGGCTTGTTCCTTCTCCAGTTGGCAGAGGGACTGCCCCTTCCTGTTTTGCCACTCCTGCCACTGAGCTTGCTGGTAGACCTGGGCACCTGTAGGGCCAAGGCCGATTGAAGTGTGCTAGAGAACAGGAAATAAGGTGCTTTGATCCTTGAAGGGACTCCAGAAGGACAGAATTGCAGAAAACACCCTGCCAACCAAAGAACCTGGGCTCTTGGGGGATCCTTAATCTTCACCTGAAACCCTTGGAATTCCCTCGTATTATTATTCTATATTCCTTCAGAATAACTAAGGACAAATCCCAGCCAGGAGGATACCTACCTCCATTGCCCTGCCAGCCAAAGCAAACCAATTTCTCATCATTCTCATTTTGTCACAAGGGATGTGTGTATACATGCATGTGTGTGTGTGTGTGTGTGTGTGTGTGTGTGTATGTGTTTTGGGATGTAGAAGGAGAATCCCTTATTAGAGTCCTTATCCCAAGTCTCCTTTCTTCCAGGTCTCAGTAATTTGAGGGTAATAACAAACAAGTAAAAATAACCTCTTTAAGGAAGCCCAACTACGGCTCCATGTCAATACAGGTGACGACAGGAGAACTAGGCTTTGGATCCTGTGGAGAGTCTTCAGAGATGCAGGCTACTTCCAGTCAGGGGAGACGAGCAGCAGTACATCTTACACCCAACTCTTTTTTTCTTTTTTTTTTGAGAGTTTTTTGCTATAGGGCGCGTGTGCTCGCCAGAAAGACAGAGACAGAGAGATAGAAAGCAAGAAATCACTCCCCAGGGGGGATGGCCATGCCGCAATCCCTTCTCCTCCATTCTCCTTTTGGGATCTTGGGCACACATGCACATGCATCCAGCATGAGTTTAAGCCACCAGGTCCAGGACTTGAACCGCGATTGGCTACATGGGAGTTCAGCGACATAGCCATTACGCTAACTGCTGGTTCTGACACCCAACTCTTCACAGAGGAGGCAGTCACAGAAGAAAGAATTTCAAACTGTCAGGTATGAGGCCCTTGATAGACAGCCACTCTAACTGGCTTCCTCCCCTTACACCCCTTCTCAATCCACCCCATCCACCCCACCTCATCTCTTAACCACAGTTTCCAACCCAAGTGATCTCAGACTGGGTGACCCCACCATCACCACCACCACCACCACCTCCACCACCACCACCACACTCCTGTGGAAGAGAACGGAGGAGAGAGTCCACTGCCTGGTCCTTCCTGCAAATGTTAGGAAAAAGAACATTGTCATCAACTTTTCCTCCTGACTCAGCAGTGCCTGGGTCAGCACCTCCAGACTCCCTGACAGTGCACTGTCCAGAGAAGTAAACATTAACTGCTAAGGAAAAATGGGACAGCGCTCACCTTTTCCTGTTGACTGTCTTTCTCTCTCTCTTTTTTGCTTTTTAAAAAAATATTATCAGAGGGTGCCTCCCCTCAACAGAGAGATACAGAAACAGAGAAAGAGAGAAAGTGAGAAAACACCTCTTCAGAGGACATGGTCACACCACGAGCCTTTCCCCTCCATTCCTTCCTCTTTTCAGGATTTTGGGCACATACAAACACACGCACCTGGAATGTTTTTCAAACTTCTGGGTCCAGAACTAGAACTGTGGAACCAGCTATGTTCCACAGGTGCCTTCACCACCAAGCCACCAACTGGTCTAAGTTTTGCTCTTTTTGATTGACATATCTGCAGTCCCTGAGTGTTAGAGTCCCCTCTCCACTTTGTGTGAGCATTCTCTGAGGTCCTTGTCCCCTCCTCAGGGGCTAGACTTCTAACCTACAGATGAAGTCTGCTGTTCTTCCCTGAGGACCTAAAGAGAATTTAGTACACAACATACTATTTTCATTTATTTTCCTTAACCCTCTTAATTGCCAAATAGAACAGGTATTATTGTAATAATTTTCCACAAGAGGGATGTTCTAACAGATGTTCAGAAAGGCCCAGCAAGTTGCCTTCAGCTGCTGAGTGCATAAGTCCTGGAGCTGAGGACTGAAATTCTGCCTTCAGACTCTAAAGTCTGTGCATTCAAGTCTGAGAGCTGGGTGAAGTGTAGGGTAGGGAGTGAAATCTCAAACCCCTGTCTTCCCTTCTCTTTAGGAAATCTGGTCATTGGAAGTATGAAGACATATACTTCAAAGAGAAAAAGGAAAGAAAATATACTGGCTCTTAAAGCAATGACTTTAAACTTTTAAAAATGTGACTCACAGTAAAAAGCGCATTTTCCATCTTGACCGAGCATATCACTCATAGATTTATTAAGTAACCAGGAATGTTGTGACGCATTTTTGCATAGAAAAACATAGAAAAATGTGCCATGATTTTCCCATCGACCTAATATATATATATAAAGTTTTATTAAGAGTGGTGTACTCTGATATAGTTTGCTCTACTCCGTTACATTTATTTTCCTTTCAATGATGGTTTTGATCCACAAAATTTATTTCGTTACCCATGACTAAAAATTGCTGCCTTAAAGCATAAACTCTTTATTGCTTGACAAGCTCTCAATACTACTCTTGTGCTAAATGTCAACTGGCACAGTGCCCAGCCCATAGTATGTGTTCAGGAAATACTTGTTTAGCTTCTGGGCTTTTAAAGAACCAATAATCCCCAAGTTCAATAATTTGTCCTGGTAACTCTCCAGTTTGCCGTATGTAGAAAAGTTAATCCTAACAAACATTCACACACACACACACACAACTGTAAGTCAATCAGTTGTGAATCCAGATTTGAAATTCTAAAATAAAATGCTGGCAAATAGATAATATTCAGCAAGCATGAGGTAAGTGTTTCCCTGTGCTGTGTGCACTGTCCCAGAGGCTAGAGAAACAGAAACAAATGAGACTCAATCCCTACCCTTAAGGAGCTGGGATGCGCTTAGAGGATGAGACATGAAGTCGTAATTACAACCCAATGTGAAGAGGGTGGTGCAGGCTTTCAGGGTTTAGAGGGGAGTTATCTACTCAACTAGAGGACTGATAAAGATGTTTCCTTGGAGTCATCCCAAGCCTCTATCTGAAAGAATAGTGGTTAGATGGGAGAGTAAATGGAGGAGAGCTAAGGCAAAGCGCATAGCACATGGAAAGCTGTGTCAGTTATAGCTGGTTGTCTGACGTCCGACCAGCCCCCATGTTCCTTATTGGCAGTGTCCCAATTAGTTAGGAAGCCCTGGGGAAGAAGTGTCCACTACTACTCTATAACTTGGGTGAAATCCTGATTAACACAAAGCAGCTGTGATGGTTTCAGGATCTTGCTAGTTATTAGTTTAGAAATGGTCATAAACCTAGGTCTGGCTGATGAGATTTAAGGAACAAACTTGGATCAGGCTTTGGGAAAGGTTTTCCTGTTCTTAAAAAGTGATTCATGATAAGAAGATTTAATGCTAAGTAAAGTAAGCCAGACTATGAAAGACAGGCATTGTATGTCTCTGCTTAATATACAGTATACTGAATGTCTGTACTCTATAGCAGAAACTGAAAAATTAGAAGGCATAATAGCAGGGAGGCCAACTGCAGATACTAGAAACAGTATAGGAAGGGATAGGTAATAGAGGGTAAGTAATAGGGGGGTGGGAGGAAGGGGATCAGGAAAAAAAATTAATAGACATAAATGAAAAGTTATCTGTTGATGATAATATATATGGTAATCTTTGACTTGACTAATATGCACTGTATTTATGTTCTACCCTATAAAAATATACAGTGATTAAATGTAAATGAAATACATATATATTAAATAAATAAAATAAAGTATAAAAGGAATCCATCTCTTTGGGCCAGCTATGTGAAGCAGCAATAATGCAAATGTGACATGGCAACCATGGCTCAAATCATCATGAGGTATGCCAGGGGTGCACATGAGTGCCAGTATCCTACCAGCTGGAGGACTGAAGGAAGGAGATCACAGTATGGCTAGACCCCATGAAGAGTGCATGGGGCTAGACCCCATGAAAGAGTCTCTCTCTTTCCTTGCATATCAGCAGGATACCTGACCATGATGCAGCTATCTTGTGGCCATGAGATAATCTATTTAGAGCACGATGGACTCATGGTAAGTTGGAAAGATAAAATCCTGGGACTTCAGTGACTTTGGTGAGTAGCTGAATTAAGCAAAAAATATACACTTACTTTGAAGCTATAGTTTCAAAGGTGCAGGGTGCAGGATGTAAGAGAATAGATTTTCCTTATTGTAAA